GAGAGTTATATAGATATTTTCGTACATATCATGTGCGTGAAAAAATATAACCTTTTTTTCCTCAGAAGACACAGCCGTGAAACAAAAATGTTGCTCCGAATTTTTAGACGTAGTATCCTCGAAAACTGACACGATATATAAACGAAGACTACAGGGAAAGAACGACTGTAGTCACAAACTGAAAAACGTGAGGGTACCAATTTTGAACGCTCGTTGATTTATAACTGTATTTCTGTTCAAATGTTCGTTAATTATTGTAATTAGATTTCCCATTCAACAACACTTAACAATAAACCACCAGTCAAACAAGTATGAAGTTACAAACTAACATTACCGTAATCCGCTTATCATCCATTGTCAGGTCCAAGAAATCTCTGCCTTGATCCTTTCCTCGGCAAAGAGATAACCACAGACTTCCACATCCATTCGAACACTCAAACCCAAACTCTAAAAAAACCACCGCCGCACACAACTTACGCCAAGACGAACTACACTCAACTTTTCACCCTGAGCACTCACCCCGCGTGGAGCCAGGGTCTAGATCTATCTAGCGGTAAAATTACCTTGTTGCCGGTGTATTACGTTTTTTTCCACATCAGTAGCTTCAGAGCAGCTCTTGAGAACGTAAAGAGAGGAAGAAAAGAAACAGAACGAAAAAATAAGAGTACACAGCTAACGAAACGCCTTTACTTAACGCTTTTATAGCAATAATATACGTGTCATCACGCCGTGGTGGAATCAGGCGCTCGTCCGTTTTTTGAGCATGCCGTGGAGTTGTTGGCACCATCTGTGGTTCAGCTTTACTTCTCTTTTCATATTGAATTTTAATGAGAGTAATATATAATTTACATTTTTTATGTATACCTGCATGTGTTTTTACGGTCCTGTACAGCCAAGAAAAATTTCCCTGTGGGATAATAAAGTATTATCTTATCTTATCTTATCTTATCTTATCTTATCTTACCTTATCTTATCTTATCTTATCTTATCTTATCTTATGTGCCAGGATCCGGAAAATAAAGATGTATCTTATCTTATCTTAAAGCTTGTGCATTTAATGCCTTGGCTTCGATGAGCAAACAT